GAGCACAGTCATTCCTGCAGCTCGATGTATCTATGGCTGTTTGTTTATCTCCAGTCTGCTTCCTATCTTCACATTTCCTCCATTAAGTCTCTGTCCAGTCATGTCCATTTTCAAGTAACAGAATAGCATCTTCCTAAAGAACATATGTTGTTAGCTCTTTGTAGTTTGGCTACACTTTGTATTTGGATCACATCAAAGATAATTAGGGTCAGCTATCATCAAGTAAGAGACAGTAGTTTTGTTTTCTGAATAGCAAGCCTTTCCATAAGTATGGGAAATCATTATTTATAATCTCATTTTGCTTTTTTCTTAATTATAAAATAGCACAAATATTAAGGAAGGGCATAATGAAAAGATACAATTTCAGATAAAATTTTGAAGATACATAAGCATCTAGGATTTAATTATAGGTCTTTATCACTATACTGAACTGCTTGAATTTCAAATATGCTTGCCCTTCACTTCATCATTTAAAATAGAAAAACTGAAACTTTTTCTGTTTCTTTTTGTAGTACTGGGCATTGAACTCAGGACCTCACACATGTGAGGCAAGAACACTACCACTGAGCCACACCCTTTGATCTTTTCTTTTGTTTGTATTTTGTTTTTGAGATAGTCTCACTAATTTTCCCTGGCTGGACTTGAACTTGCAATCCTGCTTCCTCCAGTCCCCAGCTGGAATTTTAGGAATGTACCACCATGGTAGGCCTGTGCACATTTTTTGAATCCACTGACTTTGGGAACAAATATTCCCTCTAAATCTTCTCTCATGTACTGCGAAGTTGTTTGAGTCTCAGAGTCTTGCTTCAGAATATGTCTGTCTTTTGCCAGTCAACTCTTCTTTAATTATACAGTTCAAACATAAGTTTTCTGGGCTGGAGGAGTGGCTCAAGGGGTAGAGTGCCTGCCTAGCAAGTGTGAGACCCCAAGTTCAATCTCCAGTACTACCACCAAAAAAAAACCAGTAAAATTTTCAGTTCCATTTAGTCAGAATCAAACTAGTTTCTGCCTATGCTGCTATTTTTTTACATTTTTATTAAAGGTGTATGTCATGCTAGAAAATATGTCCAATATAACATTGATATAAATCAAAACAGGTTTATATCTATTTATTGGATTAAATTAAAATTTAATTAAATTAAAATTTAATTTATATTGTGGGAAATCAGGAAGGTAGTTTGGAATGAAAACAGAATATTAGAGTGTATTTAGAAGGTCCCAGAATAGGTCTGAAGAATTTCCCTGATGACTATACTCTTGTGTCCTAGGACATAATATGGGGGAAAATAGCACCTGTCCTTCCTCTACCAACTGTCATCCCAACCAAACATATGTACTCTATGATCTCTTAAATAGCACTCCACAACTCACACAGATCCTCAGTTAACCTAATCAAGTTTGACCTTTTGTGTTTACTTAGGTAAGTAAAGTATCTCATGACAATTCAATGATAGATACCTTGTCTATTTGTACCTGATCCTTATCTGCATCAGTGTGGTCACAGTCTTGACAGGTAACCTCCCCAAAGCAAAGAATCTTCTCCATTTAAAACAGCTTTAGTATGGGATTAGGTACACACAGCAAATAGGTTTTTTTTTCCTTTATTCATATGTGCATACAATGTTTGGGTCATTTCTTCCCCCTTGCAAATAGGTTTTTTGATGACATTGAGAATCCCAATAATAACCTTTCCCATGAGGGTCATATCTGAGTTAATTAGATTTTATAAAATTTCACATACAAGGAGTCATGACTTTTGTTTTCCAGGGACCTAGATAAATTATTTTAGTTTGTGAAATTATTCCCAAGGTTCAATGAAGCACTTGGGCAGCTTGCTGGAGTTATTGAGTCCAACATGGCAAGTGTCTGCTCTCCTGAGCTCATCTTCCTCATCTCTACTTCTTAGTCATGTATTCAGTGCCACATTGTATCATTTTTGTAAGAACTATTGGTTTATCATTGTGCTAGTTATTGTTAACGTTAACAGGAGATTAAAGATTTAAAATATGGATTAGAGTATTTATGTCCTCTGAAGACATGTAACACTTAAGACATGAAGAGCGTCAGTTTATTCCTTAATATATAGACATTAGATGTTTTCATATCAAACCTGCTAAGTTTCACAGACATCCAGAGTTGGGGTAAACCAGACTGTAACATTTGAACAGGGATGCATGGTAGGAATTTAATCTGCACATTTGCTGTGAAGAAAGGTTTGTCTCAAAAAGCTTCCTCAAGTTATCTCTATCATGCTTCAGTTTTTAAGGTGACAGCACTGTTTGAGGTTCTGGGAGATGTTTAGGACTTACCTCTCACTGTGTGACCTTATATGCACCCTATTCCTCCTAGCCCTCATTTATTCTAAATGCACCAGCAGGATTCAAAGATAATGTCTGTCTGTTTCATCTCTTAGTTTCTTTGAAGGACACTACTAGATAAAGGATGCCCCTTATCAATTATCTAGTCCTTGATACCTGATGAGCTGCCACTCAATAACCAATAAAACAGCATGAATGTTAGCAACCATCAATTTAATATGAGGACAATGAATGACTGTAGAATGAGGACAGATAGAAACAAATCTATTAAATCATTTACTAAGTATTTGTTGAATGTCTATGTTTTAGGCAACTGGATGCTAGGGATTTTTGAAATGAGTGATACAAGTTTGCCCCAGAGAGTACCATAGAAGAAGTAAACTGGCTAAAGGCTTTCATTCCATTTGTTTAGGAAAAAATGTTACATACTCATAAGGTGATTTAAGAATACTACAGAGTATCTTACTGGCCAGCAAAGAAAATCTGTACAGTACAGCTTTGTTAACTGATATCATTGGTAGTGAATTTGTGGTAATTAGAATAGGAACTTTTTGTCCTATTGCTGGGAAATATTAATAATTAAGAAAGGCATAAATATTGCATTTTCATTACTGTCACATATAGTCTAACCGGTTTTCTGGCCTCATGAGATTGTCTCTGCTTTTAATCTTTTTCTAGCAACCTCATTATATCATGTTTATCAAGAGCAATTGACTTATACTGATATAGTCATGATCTTAGGAAGCATTGCACTTTGGAAGACAAATCCTATAGAGTAGAAAACATGTTTTGTGACAGACAAAAAAATAGATATTGTAGATTTTAGAATACTATGGGAAGGTTTTCTTAAGATATATTTTTATTTTCACATAGCTGACTACCCAAAAATGTCTAGACAGTGAAAAGTTATGGCAGGTTATATTTTAAGGTCTTCCTGCAAGTCCATTAACTTTGAACTTGGCATATCCCCAGAGAAGTCTTTTAAAATAATTTTATTAAGATATATTCAATATATGGGGGGATTCATAGTGACAATTACAATTAGACTTATATTGTACAATATTTACCTTGTCCCCATCATCTCTCCCTCTTAACCTCCTCCCCACCCCACTTAAAGCAATTGCAAAAAGTTTCATATAGGTGTATAAAGTCCACCTACCATATACCGTCACCTCAGAGAAGTCTTTTTATGAGTAGGGACTAATTTCTAAGACAGTCCACAAAAATCTAGGTAACTTGTAATATGAATAATCAATCATGTGAATCACAAATATTTCCCAAACTGTGTCAGCTACTATATTCATGAAGATCTATGGGTTTTGGAATAATTTCTAAATCCTATGTTTTCATTTGGATGACAGTCTAAAAAATAATGTGATAAAATCATATTCTGTACTATCTAAATTAATACCCTGTTATGTGATTCTTGAACTTGTTTATGGTATCTTTATAATTATATTATTCTCTTGTTGTCATTTGATTTAACAGCTTTAGAGATTTACTATATTACTGGTTAATAGCTACCTGACCTTCTGTTGGCTTCTGTTATAGTTAAAATGATGCAGTTTTTTCATATTTGTCATATTTGTTGTTTTTCTTTACCATTAGGAGACAAAAATGTATAATTCTCATTCAAAGATATATTAAGTCACTAGAATTTTAATTTTTAAGGTTAGATTTAGATTTGAAAATCAAACAACACAGTATGGCAGGATAATGTTACAGACTAATAACAAGATGACAAAATATATAAATATATAAATGATGAAGCAGAGAAAAATAGTGGGAGAATTTAGTTATCACATGGGACATGGTTAGCAACTGAATAATTAATTTAACCATAACTAGCAAGATGACTACTCAGTGAAATTTTAAATTGATACTTTAAAGAATATCTGTCATTTTATGATGTCCTAGAAAATTATTCCATTAAAATAATAGAGCGGTACTTATTTTTGCTCTACATATTACTTTTTAAATTGGAAAATTTCTCAAAAAATCCATATTTCTAGCTTTTTTTTTTTTTGGTGGTATTGGGGTTTGAACTAAGGGCCTCATACTTGCTAGGCAGGCATTCTACCACTTAAGCCATGCCTCCTCTGGCTCTTCTTTTGTTAGAAGGCATGGCAACTATGAGTTTGCAGCCTCTGTGGGATTATAGAGCTATATAGTGACTATTTCCTATGTAAGAACTGCTTCTCTCATGGAAACTTTCTACTTATAATTCATAAGCCTTAGACTTTCTGTTTCCTTCTCTGAAGCGTTGCTGCTTATTTCTCAGAACACAGCAATACAGGTTCTGGGAAGAAGGGGTCTACGTCAGTACATACACATTTTGTAGGACAAATACTTGTGACTAGGGGCTCTGCTGGATGTGGCTCCTCTACGGGGCACCATCCTTCTCTGTTCTCTCTGTAATCATGATTTGCTATGTAGTTTGAAATAGAAATTGACCTTTAGGATCTCATTTCTAAATTAATCCATAGCATTCATACATAGCTTGGAGGCTTGCCTAGTTAGAAGAACCCTTGGTGTCCTCTTCTCCCTTCCCCAGCTCTCCCCCAAACAACAGCATAATGCCTGCCTATCATTCTGTATTTCTCTATTATTACTCGGTATTCACTTTACTTCATTAATATTTAATGATCATTGCAGTTATTCACCGGAAAGGGCAACACTTACCACCAACCATGCAAAGGTGAACTTGGATGAAATTTCTGAGGAGATATTTTGAATGCATGGTATTTCCAGGGTCTGATTTATCTCTATTTCTATTGTATAGTTGCTTCTCCATTCCTCCTGTGTAACTATAAGAAAACACAAGGTGGAAAGTACAAGGATCTTTGGCATATGAAGTGTCTTTTATCAGAGAGACAAAATAGTTTTAGTATACAGATTCATCTATCCTCAGGCTGTGCCTATGAGCTAAAGGGGCAGAACCTCAATGTAGTCTTCCTTGTGTAAGTGGCGAAACTGAGCCAGGAGAAATGCAGAGAGTTGCTTATCCTAACAGAATTCAACTCAGAGTTTGACATGTTCTTCTGCCTTAACTCAATTGGTACGTTTTTCTTCAGGTTTGTTTCCTTAATTAGATAGTATATAAAATTTTATAACCCAGCTTATAATTATCTTTTAAAATGTTTAATAGACTTTACTTTTTAAGAAGGTTTAGGTTCACAGCAAAAGTGAGCAGGAAGTGCAGAGAGTATTCAGGCACCACCTCTACGCACATATAACCCGCCCCCCACAACTATCAGCATCCTGTACCACAGGGGTATGTTTGCTACAATCAAGGAACCTACATTGATACATCGTGCTACCCAAAGTCCATAGTTTGTATTGGGATCGCTGTTACTGTTGTTTTGACCAATGGTTTTGACAAATGTATGGTGCCACATATCCGCCCCTATACTATCACACAGAATAGTTTTTCTGCCCTAAAAATCCTCTGCACTTCTCTTATTTAGTCTTCCTTAACCCTTGGTAACACGGATCTTTTTACTGTGTTTATATGTAATTATCTTGTTAGAACTTATAACATTCATTAAACAAAGGAATGAAGAAGACAGTTATGAATAAATTTAATTTTGAAGTTATTATGAAAATAAATAGATATCTGTTTTATAGCCTTTCCTTTTGGAGAAGTTTTATAAGTATATGATGTATGTGCATTTACATTTGAGACTAAGCTATTATAACATCAAGTGATTGTTTATAAATGAAGACAGCTCTTTCTTTCTAACAACCTAAAATATTATATTTTAAAATACGTATATAAACCTTGTTTGTATACCTATACATTTTCTCAACCTTTACAGTTCTATTTTCTGGCTATTGTTTTATATATTCTCATTTAAAAATGTTTAGCATTATAGTATTCTTGAACTATTTGTGGTTGAAATTTTTAAAGACTTTATATCTATTCAACATACACATCCATTGTCATTTGTTTTGTAATTTTCAATTATTTTGAATCATCATGCTCCTTTGGCTTGAGTTTTTATTTTATTTTAAATAATTGCACGTTAGATAGCAAGGATCAATGTTATGTTAATAGCATTCCTCTGACCATTCAGCTACCAAGGTAAATTTCTAAAAGTATAACTGAAACATAACCAATCATTGGGTATGAATATTTTCATTGCTACCAACAGTATATTTTTAAAAAAATATGGAACATTCCTCAGTTTAAGAATGCCACCTTTAGCCTTTGGATCTTTGTACTTCAGGCTGTCACCTGAAGGTGTGTATATCAGGTGTGTATTCTTTACTGATTACTCTTTCCGCCTCTTTTGCTTAACTAAAGTCAGGTTTTCATTTTAGGGCACATTTCCAAGAAGAATTCTCAAGCAGTGGTTCTTTATTATCTTGTACCCTCATTTCCTCAAGCTCAAGAGGTGGGAAAAGTGCCTTCCTTGCTCTCCATTGTTGCTTCCTCAGTGTTTGTAGGGAATTGGTTTCAGAACTCCTGGTAAGTAACAAAATCCTCAGATGTTCAATTCCCTTACATATGTGGCATATTTGCATCCTCCCAATATACTTTAAGTAATTTCATGATTACTTATAATACCCAATATAATGTAAATGCTACAAAAATAGTTACTATGTTGCATTGTTTAGGAAATAATGACAAAAAAGTCTGTATGTGTTTGGTACAGATGTAATATTTTTCAAATATTCTTGGTATGCAGTTGGTTGAATCTGCAGATGTGGAACCTGCAGATACAGAGGGTGACTATATTGTACTAACCCTATAATTTTTTTTAAACAGAAAGAGCCCTATCCTTTTTTGTTAAAGGAATTGAACTATAATGGAGATATTTGTATAACACCACTACAATTTTAAATCATTACTACTACTAATTTTATTTTTGAAATTATTGTACTTGTCTTACTTATTTTAAATAGATACTGACCTAGGTTCTAATATCTATGAAGCTGTGGAATGCATCCAATATATCAATTACATTTTATGCATATTTTCCCAACTCATGAGTATTTTGAAAGTTTGTTTAGGTTCTGGGAAGTTGGCAGTACAAGTGGCATAACTTTTTGAATATAACTTAATCCCCTATAGAGACAGAAAGACTAAACTAAAACCTCATAAACTGTACGTATTAGCACAATAAATAACAGCATATCTGCATTAACAGGTATGGGCACAAACCACTATACCCCTATGGTATTGGCAACTGTGCAGAAAGAAACAGAAAAATCAACTGTGCTTCTGATGGCTCTTGGAACTAGAGGAATACCCTCTGCCTCCTACATGACAGGTAATCACTATGGACAGACAGGCAGACTAATTTGAAAAGAACAGCCGAAATGAAGAAGGGAGTCTTACAGGCCCCAAATCCCCAGTGTCTTCAAGGGGAACAGGAAAGGGTTCTCAGTCCTGGAGCAGATGGGACTTCTCAAGATGCACCCCAAGAAGAAAATGTTAGGAGTACAATCCAAATTAAAATGGGTCAGGTTCAATAGGAGAAATTGAAGAAGCAATTTATATAAAATGTAGGGGAAAGAATCAAAGGAAGTGCGCTGGGAAAGTTCAATAGCATAGTGTTTATCTTGAAAATAACAGAAGAGGGGGCTCTAGATACACTGAAGACAAGAAAAGCTAGCCTGACCCACCCTTTTATAATAAGAATAAAAATACATTTAACTTAAACATCAGCCATAGAGATGGAATGCAGTAGACTCACCTATAAAGCTACTATGAGAAAAAGTGCTGGAGAATAACACAGCACTCCTGCAACAATGAAAGCATATTAATTAGCAAGACCTGACCACAAAACAAATAATGATTATAGACTAAGAGAAATAAAGACAGTGATATAAACTGAAAAAAGACAGATAAACTGAGTCCTTTGGGGAAAAGAATTCTTATGAGATAGGTTACAAAATCCAGAAACGGGTTAGAAATAATAATTTTTAAAAATCACTCTAGAATTGAAGATGAAACTGGAACAAAAGGGAAAATATATAAACACAAAATCTAATGCATTAAAAGAAAATTTAAAAAACAGAATGAGGGCAATATTCAAATAATTAATAATAAATTTAATATAAGATTTAAGAGATATTTAAAATTGGCTTAAAAAGAAGACAAAAACATGTAAAATAGAAGGCTTGAAGAAAAAATTCAAAGCATGGAACAGAGCAAATAATTCGAGAAAAAAATTCTTAATCTAGAAAATACATACTAAAAGATTATACTACAGAAGTAAGGAAATAGGCCCAGAATGGACAACATTAAGCATAGTTTTATGAAAATATTGAATAAAACCAACTATGGGTAAAGAAAATTGGATTGCTAGTAGCTTTTTCATAGCAATTATATATCATAAAATAATGGAGTAGCATTTTTAACATATTTAAGGAAAGCCAATGTAGGCCAGGGATTTCATATAGAAGAAAATTAATCTAGATACTGTAGAAAAATTTTAAGGTCATACAAGAACTCAGAGAAATAGCATGCACTTGAGAATCCCCTGGATTCTCAAGTGGAATACACTTCAGACTGCACAGGCATTTACATAATGGCTGGTGGTAAGTGTTGATTATGTTTAGAACTAAGAACAAGTAATTGTTATGAGGAAGGGAATGGTTTTGTGGGTATACACACACATGTATACACTACATATATATGTGTATATATATATTTATGTATGTATAGTGTGTGTGTGTGTGTGTGTGTGTGTGTGGTACTAGGGTTTGAACTTAGGATCTTGTGCTTCTAGGCAAGTGCTCTACCACTTGAGCCACAACTCTAGCCCTGTGTGCTTTAGTTTATTTTTCAAGTATAGTTTCACACTCTTTGCTCAGCACTGGCCATGGACTACAATTCTCCAACCTCATCTCATGTTGCTGGGATTACAGAAGTGAACCACTTTGCTTGGCTCTTATATGGGTCTTGAACTAAAGATGCAGCGTTGTTATCAAAAGTGGAGGGAGTAGGGATGAGAGACTTCTGGTTTGGGGGAAATGAAGAAGTCAGCAAAAAAAAGGATAAGTATAAAACTGGGCAAATGTGTTAAAGCAATCATTTCACAGCCCTAGATATTGACCAAAGGCAACACAAAATTAAGAAGCATTTCCTCTTGAAAAACCACTAGATCTTCAGTTAGAGCAGTAGGAATCTTTAGCATTCTTTCCTATGGCTCCTTTATTCCCTTCCTCAGCTTATCATTGAGAAAATGTAGTTATACCAGTGTAGAGCTGCAAAAAACAGCAGTTTTGCTTTCAAAAACAGCAAAATCCTCTTCAGAGAACACACCAAAGAAGGCCCTTGCCAGACGCTCATAACGAGATCTTGGACTTCACAGCCTCCAGAACTGTGAGAAAAATAAATTTCTCTTCTTTATAAATTGTCCAGTGTGTGATATTCTGTTATAGCAGCATCAAATGAGATAAGATAATGGCAGAACAGGCAAGCCACTTGACACAGACATTCTGGAAATTACAGTCATAGAAGGGCTGAGATAAATTCTCTATACATTCTGGACTGACTAGGAAAATATATCAAAACACACTCAACATATGATGGAAGTCTCAATGTGACTTCCAAAGGGGAACATTCCAACCATGGCCTTTGTGCAGGACAGATCTGTTTGCAATTAATTATCTCAGTTTTTTTCATTTCATGGATATTTTCACTAGAATACTTGGTGGACTGTTTTCTCTTTTAGTATTTTGAATGTCTTCTGACTTCATTTCTGATTAGGAGTGTCATTAGTTATATTATTTGAACTTTGAAGGGTTCATACTAAAATGAATAGAATAAATGATATTTTCTTCAAAGTAACCT